GGGCGTTGGCGGCCTTGGTGAAGATCTTTGCCTCCTCAGAGTCGGTGTCCTTGAAGAAACCAATGATGGCAATTTCGTTGTCCTTGAGGAACTGCTCAGCATCGGCCACGCTGGACAGATCCTTGGCAGGTGGTCCAGTCTTCTTGGTTACCCAGGAAATGATGTCAGCGGCCTGACGACCTCCGCTGTACTCCACTGGAGCACCGCTCCGGAAGAACTTGAGTGTGGGGTAACCACGCACCTGGTACTGCTCAGCTAGCTCACCCTCGACGGTGGCGTCGACCTTGGCCAGCTTGATTGGCGAGTCCTTTTCGGCCAGCTGCTGAGCAGCCTTGGCATACTCGGGAGCGAGGGCCTTACAGTGTCCGCACCAGGGAGCATCTGAAAGGATTAGCAAACAGGGCGAAGAGTGCAATTAGAAAATGGAATTCCCATACCTATAATTAAATCTTATCATGCAACTTTTCTTTATCTCAGTGGCAGAGTCATTATTTAATAACAGACATTTGCAGTTGGCATCCAAACGGAAAATTCTAATTTTAGACTGTCAATTGTAATCTTAGTCGCTACATTTGACACGGATTTGGAGCAGGGCCCCTTCTCATTGTGCTACGGCCAGCAGCTGTTTGTAATTATGCAAATTCCACGTGGTGGATTCCCATTGCCTGTCGTCCCAGCTGCAATTTAACACGCATCCACGCACACAGCCACAACGGAGAGATGACATAATACCGACTTGACAACGTCTCAAGAGGCCCTGCTTATCACCGGCTTGGCTTGGCTTGGCATCGGCTGACGTGGCCGGGCCATTCGCCTTGGCATTGCCATTGGCACAGGCACACACTCAGCAAGACATTATTCGAAGATAAGATTTCTGATGCGGATGACCCGCCGCACCAATAAGCAAGTTAGCTGACGTTGTCATTCCTACACAAAATCTTAACCAAACGTAAACGCTGGCATAAACAAACCATGCGCCGTCGCCATATTGGCGAAACCAGAACTAGAGATGCCGGCCGAACATATCTGGCTTTTTACGGTTGAAGAAATACAGGGTCGAGAATTTTTGTTGTATCACTGATTTTTGTTTATCTCTGAAGTGTGTTCATTTGCTGGAAGATAAGGATGGATTTTCGATTTCTTCGCTGTCGGATACAGCACTTTTGGGCCATCACATTTCCCTGGTCCAAGTAAAATTGAGCTCCATTAAGACTTTTAAGCTAAATCTGTTCCTCTACATGGGACAGCACTGGCAGCCACAGCGCCGTTAAGCATGCGCAATGAAAGAGTTGAATGAACTTTCCATTGCGTGGCCGCGCCGACGTAGAAAAGGGCACAGAACGGAAACCAAAACCAGAATAGAAAGCAAATAGCGAAATAAACGTACACAACGAATATCTTGCTTGTCTAACCTAGATTCAAAAGAAGAGTTGCCCGAATACTTTTATTTACTTTTGTTTCTTTCTAATTCGAGATTGATAGAGCGGATGCGTGGGCACAGATTTGGCCACGCCCAGGGCACTGGACAGCATTGAAATTGCTGATAAAAGTGAAACATACGGAACAAGAATTGCTATCTCTAAGTCAAAGGATTTGAAGCAGAGGGGAGCAGTTAGGAAAATGTGCTTTCTGAAGGTAATACTGCGCATAAGCAGTGTCTCGATTGGCATTTAACATTTAGAATTTATGGCACTTTCATAGGAACAACAGAAACAATAACAACACTGTATTTGCTTGCTCGCTTTCACACCCATCCCCCTCACACACACACACACGCATACACAGGTGCAAGATGTGCGCGTGGAAAAGAGATGACAGTTGCACCCAACCAAGAGAGAGAGGGGACAACTCTGAGAGAGCGTTACTCTCATTTCTCATTGATGTGAAAGATAAAAATGCTTAAAAAACGATAAAGAGCAGGAAAATTAACTAAAGTTGTTTCACTTGTTTAGGTAAAATCTAATTTCCGTCCTTGAATTTGCACAGTCTTCGGATACTAGCAATAAACAACAATTTCTTTTGGCTAACAACTGCCACGCAGACACATTTTGCGATGCTTCGTTCCACTTGCTCCCGGTCGAAAGACCACGTAGCCGCGAAATCGTATGAATCAGCTAGCGGGAAGCGTCAGCCGGCGCGTACATATATGTAAATAGTTAAGGTTTTAATGCGCTAATACTTACAGAATTCCACTAGCACAAATTCATTGTCGGCAACCAATTGCTTAAAGTTGTCCACTGTCGCAACGAGCACACCCTCCTCAACTTTGACTTCACCAGCGGCCACGTAGAAAGCCGCCGCGAATAGTGCACAGATTAGGAATTTCATCGCGGGCACTTTTATATGCTAAGTAATATGTTGGGGTATATCACACGCTTCTGCCGTTGTTGCAATTGGTGGTGCTGGGTTCGAGTGGCTTCGACTTTGTGACTACAAAAACAGTTTTTTTGGCTAAATTCAAGCCCACGTCACGTCACCAGTGTGACTGCGGATTTATCGACAAAATATAACGTTCCCTCAGAAATATACCGAAATATACCTTGTCATTATCAAAATATACTGACGGTCACGACAAAATGCGCTGATATTCCTTAATTTTTATATTCGGTTTAATATTACTAGCTAGTTTACCTTTTTTTAGCCCAAGCAAATAATTTTGTCCAATTTATTAATCACTTTTCTACAAGATTGGCTAGTTTTCAGAACTCTTTTTCGTTGGACTGTTAACATAATAGGGTTAAAAAAAACACGGCCAAATTAAGGTTCTTCTCTCCGTATGAACATTTGTATTTTCCTCCTCTATTTCCTTTCACGTTCACATTAGCCATAATCACAGTCGTCACTATCATTTAATTGGCGTTTTGGAAAAGCATTTCTCTTACCGATTGAAATTGTTCGCAACAAATACATATTGACCACCGACCCCAAAAATGCAATGCCTATAAAAACATTTCCATATCATTCTGTTGCGATATTCTAGTATAAATTTAATGAAAGATACTTATTTACCCAATTGACATATCATTTCATTAACTTTGATGTAGAAACCTATTCAAATAAGCAAAAGTTCCCTTTTTCGGTTTTTTTTTTTTTGGTTTTAGCTATGTTTTTTAATACTATTCTCTCTTATAAAAAAGATGATTCTTGAGAAAAGTTATTCCACAAAATCTTTCTAACACACTGAACTATCTAAAAAAATACGAGAAAAATGTTTCCATCCCGGCTAACGGTATATTTTTAACTATTATTAACCTAGGAATATTGTCCCGTGCGAATATGGTTTAAATTAAATTTCAAAAAAATTACGAATCATATTTGCGTAAAATAATATCCATTTTAAAGAGGCATCAATGCACAACATGTACAGAAATTTACATCTATATATTGCCCCAATATTCGCTGAAATCTGAGTTTGAATTGATCGTCGCGAAAACCACTTCCATATTTGTCCATTGCGAATAACTTGGTTTTTTTCAAAAATCTTTTAAACTAATAGTTGTCCAAAATCGACCAGTTATAGGGCTAGTAAAAAGGTGTGTCATAGTGGTAAATTAATTTTGAAAATCCGTCTTATTTTGACCTTTTTCCCACTTGCACTGCGTACGACTGCCCCGTTCGCCCATACATACATATGTACATTTAATGGAACAGTGGTAGCTGGCAGTCTGAGCATTATTTTAGCTAATGATGATACTATTATATTTCATCCTCAATTATGAATGTAAGTTTAGGAAAACCTGCGTCTTTAGACACTACACTGGTGCATAGATATAGAGTCTATATTATATGCTATGCATATAGCAAACTAAACGTCCCAAACGAGGGGTCGAAAAACGTCACAGAATAGAATATGAATGAATGTGTTAAGACCGGTTTTTACTCACAGTAAAAGATGAGATCCCCGTGATCAACACAGTCATTAAGCTATAAATGGTATAAATAATCTTAAGATAATTATCTTCCATTCGTTTTTTGTTGCCAAATATGGTCTCTGTTGTAGGTACTGTTGCCTATTTATGCATTTGATTCCCATACAGTTGAAATGTTGCCAACGGGATAAAACTTGGGTTCGGAATGAAACCCTTAACAGCCAATAATGAGTAGAGCACTTACATACATACAGCTGCGGTCAAAATAATAATAGTGCCAATATGACTTTTCATATATCCTCAAAAAAAAGGAATTACGAGCACTTCTCCATAATAATTTAAGTTTTTTTTTAGAGACTACCTTAATTTCAGATTGTAAGAAATTAAAATTTTGAAGTAACTGGAAAACGGGTTGGTCAAAATAATAGTAGTGCGACTTTTCATACAAGACTACGTTATAACAAAATTTTCTAAGAATTTTCTTTATATCCAATATAACAACTGCATATTCGAAGTTAGTTTTAAGATTTATTTGAGTAGCCTATGTTAGCTCTACCGTCTGCACGACGCTTTGACATGGAGCTAACTCAATTTTGCTATCGTCCTCCAGGACCTTTGTGATTTTGATTGTGTCATAAATGACAATGAATGAATTTACTCTATTTAAAGCGAACCACTCTTTTGCAACTTTGCGGCTGTCCTTCGGATCTTTGTCCTCCTGGGACGTCCAAATAAGTTGCATATCCTCAGATGCATAAGGTAGAATCATTTCGGTCGATATTTGAATGTATGAATGACGATCCAATATGTTTTTAACACATATAATGGTAAAATTCCGTAGTTGCAAAATCCCGAACAAAACATTGTTTACGGTGCCGCAGTTTTTACGGTTTTTAAAGTATATTTTGTGGAAAATTCAGTTCGTCCTAGATAGTAACGAGACCACAGGCTAAACAAATAAACAACTTTAAACTCGTTCGAATATAAAATATTCCCCCAGTTTTACAATGGTCAATAGTGAATTGTTGCCCGCAAAACCCACTTCTGTTTTTTCCCTGTGCAATTATTTTACCCAAAATAGATAATTTTAGGGGAAATTAAGATTCACAAGTTAAGAATATTGTCAAAGTATTTTATCCAAACCGTTGGTTTGTTTTGATATATTATTGTTTACGTATTGTAGTGGAAACATATGGAATTATTTTCGGCATTAATTGTACGCATATCGTTGAACTCTCTGCTTTGTAACATGATCCGAAAGAGACAAAAGTATTCAAAAAGAAAATAGTAAAAGTCGCCGTTCATGAATCCATACATATTGAGATTCTTATTCAATAACAATTTTATGAAATATAATTTAACTGGAATTTAATTGCTACATGCGGAAGCGGCCACTTGTTGCACGCATTGTTGAATGATTTTTAAAACAATATCCGCCGTTTGTTCGGTACTAAATGGTCTATTTATAGGTGGGACATGCACGAACAAACTTCGCTTGGAGTCCACGTCGAGAGATTTCAGATATATGTAGCCACAAAGAAAATCGCCCACATTTTTGGAAACCCTCGTAGCACCCAAAGGCTTGTCACTGTGGTGCGGCATTGTGGGGGCCACACACGCCTCGCATGTTGCATTTACAGCCTCTACGATCTTGTCCACGTCAAGGCCGCAGCGCAAAACATTTGCCTTGCCATTGTGGGGGAGGACACAACTGCCGTTGGACAAATACTGTCCGGAATTGTCTGCCCGTCGGAACTTGTGGTTATAGGCCAGCTTTTCCACATAAACGCATTTGGCTATACCTGACACTCCAACATGTATGACCATCTGTATTTGGATAAATGACGTCAGTATTGCAATTGTAGGTGGTCTAGGGTTTAAATAAATATATTTGCCTCTGGCTGACGGCTCCATATCTCTGTACACGCCTCATCGACTGCTTCGTACTCGACGGCGACCAGACGCTTCATCAGGTCATATTCAGTGCCATTTTGGGCGGTGAGCAGCTCTGGCAGCAGCTTTACAGCCTCCCAACTGGCATTGATCTCCTCATGTCCAATAAATGGTCCGAAACCAGAGACAACAATTAGTTTTCGTTCCGACGACGACATCGGTTCCACAGTAATATATTATCTTCTTCTTCTGTTGCAATATAAACAATAGAAATGACAACATGAATGAAGATAGTGTTTTGGAATTTTGTTCCCTCTCTAGGTCACACCCCTTGCCATTTACTTAGTTACTGAACAAATACTAAAAATGAAACGCGTAATGGACTCACCTCGTTGTGCTAATACACCGATGTTAATGTGTAGTTATCATGTAAAATTAGTGGAAATTTAAGTTGTCCTTTTTTTTTTTAAACTTTATTTTAGAGCCAATAAAAGAAGGACTTAAAATTAAGCAATCTTGTAGAAAATTGATTAAATTATTGGATAAAACTATATGTTCGGTCTTGAGGTTCCTTGCTAGCTTTTACCACTAAGCCGAATATGAAAAAAGAGGAATATCACCTTCTGCATGGTATGGTGAACAAAAAATAACGATTACATTTCGTTCGCTGGAGTGAATCGTTCATCAACACTATAAACTACAAACAAAGCAGCAAACACATCACTTCAACATCAACAAATATATTTACGTACATTCCAAATAAAAATCCGTGCTAATGCACCAACAACGAAACTCAGAATCGAATCAATAGAAAGCAGGCAAGAGCCAGCAACCAGGGCACAGCGATCTAGCAGAATTTTGTAAGTATTGTATTCCGGCTAATCTAATCTGTGCGGCTAACAACGGCACCACGGCAGCGCCGTCGGGCAGGGCTTAGCTAACTCACACAAATGAACTTTGTACATTAAACATTTATTAATTTTGAGCATGTATCTTTTGTACTGCAGCCGGCGGACAAGAAAGTGGCACGAGCAGTTGGCGCTTTTCACACGCACAAGCCAGGTCGGAGGAGACGCAATTGAACATTTAACAGGGCCCAATTCCAATCACAAACATGCTGTCACGCGTGCAGGACTTCTTGTCACGCCACCGTCGGAAGTTTATCGTGACCGGAGTGCTTGTGGGTGGCGCCTACTATGCGGCCCGGTACGCCCAACGCAAGCTGGTGGAGATGCACGAGAAGCAGGCTCGTGAGATGTTCGAGCGGACGCGGCGCACGCATCACTTCGAGTCGACGGAAAAGACTTGCAACCAAGTGATCCTGGGCATGGGCGAGGAGATGTGTGACGCTGTTCTGAGAGAGTGCAGCACAGACGAACTGCTCGAGCAGCTGCGTCAGAATCCGAAAAACAAAGTGGAACTGTGGGAAGAGATGAAGGTCGTGGCGTTCACCCGCCTGGCCACGTTTGTTTACGCCTCATCCATGCTGGTGATTGCCCTCAGAGTACAACTGAATCTCTTAGGAGGCTACATTTACCGTGATATCACGACGGAGCAGACACGAATCACCGATGAGCTTAAGCAGCAGTATCTCTCGCTCATCCGACACTTCATCACAGAGGACGGTATCAGAGATCTAACACGGTATATTCGGACTCAGGTAATCGCAGTGGTGAAGTCGTCGATGCCTCTCTCACGTCAGCTCTCCCTCAACGACCTGGAGCAGCTGTTTTGGTCTCTGCAAATGGCCATCAATGCGGACACTCGTCGAGATCCCAACTCCAAGATGACGAAGTACCTGCTGCCCTCCCAGAGTTCCAGCTTCTCGCCGTTGCTCCAGCAGATGTACAACGAGACGCTGGATCTCCTGGAGAGCGAGGATGCCATCGGCGTGTGTTCGCATAATGTGACTCGAGGCTTTGTTTTGGCCTGCGATGTCATTGCCGAGGCCCTTGGCGAAACTCTGCAGCATCTGCCCCCCGCAGAAGTGCAGAAGCAACCGGAGGCCCAGCAGCCCCTGAAGTTCAACCAGAGCGCCAGCAGCAGCCGCCTTTCCAGCAGCCAGACGGTCGATAATAACAACTTGCTCAACATCAACACGGTTCTGATGGCCATGGCCAAGCTGATACCAATCATCAGTGGGATCACGTCAAGGGGGTATGACAGTGCGGCCCGGACTACCAACTTGCCCACGCAGCTGCTCTCCTTTTACTTGGTGACTGAGAAGTCCAAGACGTTGGGTGCCAATGTGTACGAGACCTTCAGTTCTGCCTAAGCTACGACGACTCCTCATATTAACATACACACATGCACACACACATATGCATGTACATATGTATGGATCTTTTGTGAGCCTGGCTATGACATATTTGGAACTCTACATACATGCATACATAAATATGTATATACCTGTTTAATTGTAACATGAGAATTACTTTCAGAAGCCTGTTTGTAAAAGCATGCTGTCGTCCCGAATTCCTTATTAAGTCTAACTCTTAAGAATATTTAGTCCAGAACCGTGTGTGTAAGCTAGCAATAAGAAGTTCCCGAATTGTGGAATCCTTTGATCAAATTGACGTGCAAACGGGGACCTACAAAGCGAGCAACTGGAAGACCTTTTATAATAAACAGAAACTATAAAAGTGTATACAACAATAAAAAGGGGAAGTAGATCTGACAGGGATCTTTACATTTCAAATAAATGGAAAATTGTGAAAAAAAAAATAAGTGAGAGATAAAACTATTGCCGGCACGAAACAGACAGATAGGACATTTCTCATGCACCACGAAAGGGGGAGGGTGCTGAAAAAACCCGCCCTGGGAATGTTGATAAGAAGCGCGGTGCCCCGGACAGCTGTGAAACGGTAACGGAGCCTGCGCAGAGTAGCCAAACGAAAATACTTGTAAGCTTGGTAAAAGAATAAATTTTTAAAGCATCTTTTGGGCGCAGTTCCCAAGCAACACCTAATATAAATTAACAGAATAATATTTCGCACAACTAGAAGGTTAAACAGCTGCATGGGAACTGCATGACTCTCTCCCGCTCTGAATCTTTCTCTCGCTCCGTGTGCCAGCTGTCTAGTGAAAAGCAACGGTAGCGTAGCTCCGCCGATGGCGATGCCAGCGCCGCAGCTACACTTTGGGTGGGCAGCGCAGTTGCAAAAGTTACGTGAAAAGGCAAAGGACAGCCCTCTGCGCTCATAGATATTTACATATGTATGTATGCATGGGCATACAATATACTCGTATGTGTGGAAAAAAGATTTAACAAAATCCTGGAACAACCATTTAGGATCCGTCTGTAAAGTGCAAATATGACAAAGACTGAAAAATGTGTTCGAAATAGCAAAGACATCGGAAGAAGAAGATTTTAAGGCAGCAGCAGTGGCGATACTAGGAACAACCACTTCGATTCAATTGTGTAAGTGCACTCGCCAACTTCGTTCCAAAAAAGACACACGACACGCAGACCAGACGCACACATGCATGTACATTTGGAGAGCGGGACAGACATAACGCACTGGGCAGACAGACAGACTGGGTGCGTAAAGCGTGGCGTGGCCTGGCCAGGCCTGGTCTGACAGGGTGGAAACATGGACGGATGGGCCGGACAGGCAGGACTCCCCTGCCTTCCGCTACCGCTTCTGCTCCTGTTACTGTGTGGCAGTATAAATAAAAACAATTTTTTACTGGAGGCGAAAGCGAAGAAATAGTAAGGCTCGCCAGGAGCTCCTCCAATCTATAACCCCCTTCAAAAGGGACCGTCGCGACGGTTTAACCCAATCTGACCTCGACTAGGAGGTCTTGTTGGGGCAAAACGTGTGGAGTGAAGAGAACAAAGAAACATTTCCTGGGAAACGTCTACGAGCTATGATATCCATGGACAACAATGCATGCAAGTCAAGTGTTGGGCATGGCCTCCCCTCCCCCTATGTTCACAGCCTTTTCTTATAACAGGCGCTGTTTTTGTCCTCCTATTCATATATATAAAGGCATATTGACACACTAAAGTCATAGATCAAGTGCCTTGACAGCAGGCACGCCTCCCGCAACCCTACTAGATATAAGCATTTTAATTAGGAACAGAAGGGGAGAGAACTTCTGTGGAACCAAATTTGCGTTAAGAAAATTTAAGGTTTAGAAATGGTGGGATTGGCTGGGTTGCGCAATATCTTGAAAAGCCAACAAACATTATCTTAAACTTAACAATTTCGTGTAGAGAAAGGGCTTTCCGATTTTCTTTAATGCATTATTTTGTGGCTACGTGTCTTTCATCAAGTTTAAGCTTATCTGCTTGAAGTTGAGTTCCTAAACATTTATTCCTTGTCGACACTCATTCCCAGTTTTCTCTACTGATAGCGAAAACATACACCGTATCGTATTCACAAATGTTGCTGGAGAATTAGCCTGAATGCATTAAACAGACCACAGCCACTGGACAAACTGGTTAGTTTCGCCTGAACCTCGTACGATATACTTATCATAATATATAATAATAAATACTGTGGTCTCAAACTAATCTTACCGCACAAATATCTTATGCTAGAAAAATCAAGTTGTCCACGCTTCGTTAAGACTTCTGGTAAAGAATACCCAAGCCAGAGTCTATAGCAGTATATACGTATCTATATACGATAGCTTTGCCCGTGTCTCTGTGCTCTATTGGAGTCCTACTTTTTCAATAAAAATTACTGAGTGTAAGTACATTTTTCATTTTAACTGTGCTGCAACCTCTTCTCCGGCTTCTCCTTTTCCGTGCCACTACTCTCTTTGCCTGTCAAAAGCGTCAAAAAGTGCGATAGTGAAGACCCAAATGAAGTATGGGTTGGGGTTGGTGTGTGGGTGTGGGTGGGGCTAACCTGAGGAATGGGAAAGTGAACTTAAGTGCAGTGCCACCCCAATATCTCGCCCCTAGCTTATTTGCATAGCTACCAAAGTAGCGCACCGTCCAACCCGGAACCTCAATCCTTAAATGATGTTGCAACCGCAGGCAGAAGAACACACACCACACCACACAACCATTGAGAAAGAGGCACTAACACTCGCACATCATGAGAAAATAGTGGCATAAATGATATGTGATAGACGGATGGACACTTGGGGCTGCCTGGGATAAGACCCTGCTTGTGCCCACAAATGAAGCTGCATCTATCCCGGTCCTTCTTTTTGCCACAACCGTAATTAGGCGCCCCTTTCGACAAAACTCATAAAAGCTGCTGTAAGTAGCTTGCTTTGACTTCATTCATTGCCGTACTCTGCCTTCCGGCATCCCGGCATCCAACCATCCAACCAACACTGCTGGTTCCGCCTCTTTTTTCGTTTTGTATGACGTATACGCCCCGCTGCTCCATGTGGCACAGCTCTCGAGGCGAGACAACTCGAATGAGTGGAAAACAAACGATACACAGTCTCTCGAACCGCCAGCTAGCCAGATAGCCATCTGTTTTGATATTTAGGCAGGGAAAATATGAAGTACAGTACAGAATTCAGTTTAAAGAATTCAGAATTCCGAATAATTATTGATTGAGTGTGCCAGACTATCAGCGTTCCTCACTAAGAACCGAGATGCGACAGAGAGGGGAAGGCTATGCCACGCGAAATGGAACTAATGGCGGCAATCCAATGGATTCGATAGGCTTCGTTTTGGTGAAAGATCGTATCAGTAACAGCTAAACGGCTCTAACTATAAAATAAATCGACATCTCATGGAGAAATGTGTATGCATACGAGTATCAATATATAATAATAGATAGATTACACAGGCCAGTTTATGGACGCGTAAGTACTTGTACGATCGCTGGGTCGAAACAGTTTTTATTGTCGATGTCGAGAACAGTTTTCGGTGCGAGTCTAAGCAAGCAGCACGGACTCTGCGTAGAGAGTAATGGAGTAGAACCATAGCCAGAGCCAGAACTAGAGCAGAGTCGAACGAGTCCGAGATAATTAACATGAGTAATTAGTAGCACATTCTTGTTGTTTTTTTGTTGTGGTTAGGTGACGAATGCTGGATAAAGAATCGAATAGTGTTTAATTCAATATTTACTTTTCCTTTTCGCACAGCGAAATGACAAACGCCAGCTGAAGGCAGCTGAAGGTGGAAGACGCAACTGACGTCGGTTTATCGGCCTCTAATCTGCAGTCCGAGCCCATTCAAAGGAGTAGCGTAAACAATTCACAATGCGACGACCAAAAATATCGCTGAAAAAGTATTTTTATTTCACACTGATCTGCGCTCTGCTGCTCATATTTGGTTTCAATCTCAAGTGAGTTATGAATACGATACGAAACGATTTAGTCCTAGTCTAAACACAAATTAACACAATTTTTCCCGCAGGGAATATGAAATATGGAAGACCCGCAGTCCCCGATCAATCCTGACGACCACACAGCAACACCAGCAGAAGCTGCGACAATTTCCCTCGTCGGATGTGGACGGTTCCGAGGAGCTCAGTAAAAGGCCTGAGGCATCTAGCTCCACTCTAGCGCCGATAGTCGCCACTCAACCTTCACCAGCAGCAGAAGCTTCAGCATTGGAAGGTCAGCAGACGGAGGATGTCGATGTGGAGGAAATCGACGCCGAGCGAAATCTGGAGCCGGAGCTGGCCACTGCAAAGCTCTGGTTCTTTCACAATGGTGAATACTATCCCCGCCCGGCCAAGACCTACAGCAATCGGCGGGCGCGCAAGCGATACGCTCCCAAGCTGCTGCCGCATCAGGATTCGCACAACGACCGCATTGTCAACCAACTGATGTACGTGCCGCACAACTACGAGCGAATCAAGGCCAGCGGCAAGCTGAAAACCATCCTCCTCTACAACGGCCTGGGTCCGTGGAACGTGAAGAAGGGGCGCGACGTCTTCCTGAGATTAAAGTGTCCGGTGGATACATGCGAATTAACTGCCAATCGGGACTTGGCCAGCACGGCTGACATGATCCTCTACAAAGACCATTACATTCCCACGGCAATACGCCGTCCCAGCAATGCCAAGCAGGTCAGCATGCTCTACTATCTGGAGTGTCCCTATCACACTCAAAATGTTAAGGCACCCGACGCCATCAACTGGACGGCCACCTACAGGTGACTTTTCCCCAATGTGTCTGTTCAATCAGATACTTATACGCTTCCTTCGTTTTTCTTTAATGCGCAGACGCGACAGCACTATTGTTGCGCCCTACGAGAAGTGGCAGTACTACGACACCAAGGTCCAACAGCAGGAGCAGGATCACAACTATGCCGTGAACAAAACCAAGAAGGTGGCCTGGTTCGTGTCCAATTGTGGCGCCAGGAATGGGCGACTCCAGTATGCCCACGAACTGCAAAAACACATCGAGGTAGAGATGGGATTGGATTGGATCTCGTGAAGATACTTACTAACATATTTTTTGCACCTAACTGATGCATTCTCTTTGGCCTTTGTCCCAATAGGTTGACATATATGGTGCCTGCGGAAACTTCAAGTGCTCGCGTAGCACGGCAGACAAATGCTTCGACATACTTGACAACGATTACAAGTTTTACCTGGCCTTCGAAAACTCCAACTGCAAGGACTACATCACGGAGAAATTCTTTGTCAACGCCCTCAACCGGCGGGTGCTGCCAATTGTAATGGGTGCCCGGCCCGAGGACTACGAGGTGAGTGCCCCGCGTCGCTCTTACATACACGTGGATGAGTTTGCCTCGCCCAAGGAGTTGGCCGAATACCTGCGTATTCTCGACGGTGACGACGAACTCTACAACTCGTACTTCAAGTGGAAGGGCACGGGTGAGTTCATCAACACGTACTACTGGTGTCGGGTCTGCGCCACGCTCCACAACGAGGAGCAGCTGCGCAAGCCGCGCTGGTACAGCGACCTCAACGATTGGTGGCGTGGCGCGGGCGTTTGTACCAACGGCTCATGGAGGAACTTCAAGGCGCGCAAGGACGTGATCAGCGACGATTGAGTGCTTGAGTCGGTCCAGATAGTGGGCCTTGGCATTGGCATTGCGTAGATCCAACTTCTATTTAAATATCAGTGTGTAGCTTTGATTTGTTGTTCTTTTGTAGTTATCACTATCCACTATCACTATCCACTATACGTGTGTAAAGAATTGCTTACTTTTTGTCGGAGGTTTAAGTGAATGTTTTTTGTAGCTAGCCGTAAGTGAACGAGACCTCAAAACTAGCACTAGCGTTGCATGAGGAAATCAAAAAGCGGAGCAGCAGAGCAGTGTATTCAAACTAGCCCATAGACTAAAAGATCCCCCGGCAGATCGGTGTAACATATACAATACAAAAAAAATACATAAGAGAACCTAGAAACTAGACTAGTTATATGTGGATATACCACCAGTGCATACATAGGTTATATTAAATATTATATAGTTGTTTAAACTACCAGCAAGTCCAATATAGAGCATAACGAGATGAAAGACGAAAGACGAAATACAAAGGGATAAAAATACAAGCGAGTTAAATGAAATTTTAATCCGTAGAGCGACCTACATACATATATGTACATACATATGTATGTATTTACTAGCTTAACTGCAATGGGAATGAGCCATCAGCTATATAGCTTTGTAAGTGAATAAATCTTTTTGTAAGAATTTTTGCGAGCAAAAAACTGATGGAGGGATGGATAGCTCTAAAATATGTTGCGTGTGAAGTGAGCACTTCTTGAATTCATGTTTAATGAGTTTTCAGCTATTATTTTGTCTAGATATTATCTAGATTGGCTCTTGGTTGGACCGTTAGTCGTAGTGAAACTACTCGGCGAGGTTTCCCAGCCTGTTAGCAATTAACTATTTTAGGACCCATTCGCACAAGCAAGTCCTTGGCCAAAAGCCATATCTGAACTAATACAAATACAATCACCATTCCTATTTTTCACACAATATCAATTTACATATTGTACGCATATATGATTTCTGTTCGATATATGTACAAGCGAGGCGAGTTTTTTTTTACACTTTTAGCAATATTTATATTTATTGTATAACATTTAATTTATAAGTATGGAGTAATATCATCTGTCTGTGTGTATTTTGATTGTGAACTTATTTAATTTTTTAATTTTTACTGTGATACAAAAAGTACTAATAAACAAACCAAAAATAACGATTGTCAACTTTTTTTTAATTTAATTAAAAGAAAAATAAAATAGGTTCAATTCGGAATAAGGAATAGCATGGGACGGAGATAATAAAGAACTGATGGTGGGACAAATTATAAGTTTAATGTAATTTCCCACTCAAATGGAACACATTAATCTTAATTAACCTACATACAACTGCATACAAATTTCAAACGTTTCACATTTCTTATGGATTACAAAATACTGAAATTATAGATTGAAAAGCAACCAACATATACTTCAATGGCCTTTTGGGTAAAGGCCCAACCGACGTTGGGAAAATATTCGAAAAGTAATTGAAGCCAAATACAAAAAAGGGAAATTTTAACATTTTTAAACAAAATTGGTACAAACAAATTGAAGCAGTTCAGAATATTTCTGGTATGATCCTAGTGTTACTTAGACATGACACATTTTCAGCTGCTGTAACAAATCAATCAACGCATTTAGTTTCTGCTGCTTGAAGTCCTCTCCCGTGGAGGCTACGATCTTTGCCGTAATCTTTCGTTGCAGGGCAATGGCCTCCACTTTCTTAGAGAGCTGCGAATAAAAGGACACATTTTCAACAACATTTTCATTCGAGAACACAAACAGTACCCACCTCAAAGGCCCGCTTTATAATACCCTGGGGCATGCCAGCCAATTTGGCCGCATTGAAGCCGTACGACTTGGGACAAGCACCGGCCGTGTACTTGTAAAGAAACGTAACCGTTTCCTGAGTGGGATCTGTGGTATCCTCATTTTCCACCATGCAGGCCATGTGACCGAGGGTGATCCTCTGGTCGTGGTGGAAGTAATCGATTAGATTGTGGTAGTGGGTGGAGAAGAGGGTGCGACACTTCAGATTGGCTAGGAAATTGACCACAGAAGCGGCAATGGCTGTGCCATCGTATGTGGCCGTACCCCTGCCCAACTCATCGAGCAGCACCAGGGAATGGCATGTGGCATGCTTCAGTATGAGAGAAGTCTCATTCAGCTCGACTAGGAAGGTACTATGCCCGGCCAAAATATCATCTTGAGCGCCCAGCCGCGTGAAAATTCTATCCACCAAGGACAGACGACAGCGGGCTGCTGGTATGTGAGCTCCCTGAAATCACAATCAATTGGTATTCAATTTAGCTCCCATCCGAAAGATTAAGAGACACTCACAATCTGTGACATGATCACGAGCAGTCCCAGTTCCCGCATCAAGGTGCTCTTGCCTCCCATATTAGGTCCAGTCAGCAGGGATAGGGGGGCTTCCGTTCTGGTACCCAATTCCAGGCCATTGGGAATGTAGGTGGAGGCATTCACACAGGGATGATAGCCCTCCTCCAGTTCGATGAACGGCTGATCAACTCCAGAGACCAGCTCTGGTACACAGATGACCATCTGTTGCCTGGCATACTCCGCCAGGCAGCCCAACACATCCAGATTGGCGACACAGTCGATGCACTGCTTCCACAGCTCATAATGATTGGAGAACTTCTCGAAGAGCCGACGGGCCAGGTCCTGCAGCACGACGTTCTTGGCATCTTCCGCCTGCTGCATGTCCTTGAGCAGGACCTTGGTCTGTGCGGTGGTGTAGCGACGCGAGGGCTTTTTGCCCTTGGCCTGACCTTCCAGGGCATACGATTTGTTGGCCTTGTGGGCATGCGATTCGGGAACATCCAACTGGTACCGCTTCTTATCGGATCCAAAGTATGTAACACGGCAGCCAAAGTGACGCTCCTGCTCCACGAGGTATGTCTTCAGGCGTTTCTCAATCTCATCTATCCGATCCATGACCACATCATACTCTGCATCCATTCCGGGCTGAGGTGCGATAACTCCCGTCTTGGCAGCTGCATCATGGTCGAAGGCAGTGGAAAAGTACCTCAGCTCCTCGCGAAGGTCGGGAAAGGCTCCTCCTGAGGTAGTCAACTGAGTGATTCTCTGGAGCAGTGGAGCTTCACATTCGTGGAACATCAGAGGTAACTTGGTGACTGCATTGAATCCCTTGAGAACTGCCATAAAGCCCACTAGCTTCTGTTTGTTGTAAATTTTCTCCTCGAAGAGTATGGCCCTGGAGTCAGGGTGATCCCTCTGTTTGACCTGCTTGTTGCCGAACAGATGAATTTGCGCTAAATTACGCTCAAAGTCCGGCATGGGAGCCAGCAGTGCTCGCATCTCTTGAAGCTCACTGGGCAACCGCAACAGCTCTCCAATGGCTGCCTGTCGCTCCCTTATCACCTCTACATCGCAGCTGGGGGCACAGAGCCAGTGGTGCAGCAGCCGCTTTCCGAACTTCGTGCAGCAATGGTCCAGGGTGGACTGCAGTGTGTGTTCTTCACCGATAATCCTCAAGTTTGACAGTGTTGTTGCATCGAGAACCATGTGCGAGCGTCTCAAGGTGGAGGCCACTACTGGCTTCGCCTCTGCCAGCTGATCGGGCGGCACATACAACTGGTAGCGAGCCATGGGGAGGACTTTTGGCTCCAGCAAACACTTGTCGATGAAAAATATACACTGACCCAGAGCCTTCAATGCCAGCTTGTAGTTGTCGGAGGGCGTAAGACCCAAGTGATCCAAATCGGACTGCATAGTGCGCAGAACCAACGGCCAGTTGTCATCGGATCCGTTTCCGGTATAGTATCGCTCGGCCAGCAGCTTCAAAGTCTTTTCAGCGTTGCAGATATGAGCTCCATTGCTAGCCAGCTGCTCCCTCAGTACTCCTCCAAGCACGGTGCGTACGACCTGTTGAGTGCGCAAGCTGAGGGCGCATCTCTCATTGAGAAGCTAAAACGGTAGGAATGTAATTTCAGATGATGCACTGGCAAGATGATGGACGTCTGTACATGACTTACGAGCACAGGCATGTGATGCGAGAGCAGCGTAAGCAATCGAGAGCAATTCTTATCGTCTTCGAACTCGCCCAAGTGAAAGTCCCCGATGCTTGTGTCTATAAAGCAAATGCCAAACTTGCTGAAAGTCCCCTCGTCTTGCTCCACTAGGGCCAACATGTAGTTGGGCTGATGATTGGGACCGATTTTACACTGCGACCCGAACACCTGAGTTCCACGATTCGTGATCTGACAGATCTCACGGGCCACCACCTTGTTGAACTTGGTGGCCTTTACGCGCTTGCATCTTTCCGTTACCATGTCGGGCGTTTCCGTTTGCTCCACGCGAGCCACCTACGGAAGCCAGATGATTACTTAAAAGGTAATTTAATTCCAAGGATCACAAAGGATGCTTACCTTGTAGCCCCTGTCTACCAGGATGGTGGACATTTTGTCAAAGGATATCTCCGGGAAACCAGCGTGAGCAAACTCGCCGCGCATATAGGTAAATCCCAGCTCATTGACACCAACGTCGGCATCACCATGGTACAGCTCATAGAATTTTCCCACTTTGAAAAACAAGACGCAATCAAAGGAGTTTGACTTCAGAACCCACCACTGCCGCACGCCTGGCGACAGGTTATTGAGGAACTTTTCGGGCACATACAGAGTGCTCTTGTCGTAGTCCGGATGGTCTGGACGCCTGCCCTCCTTGTCCTTAATCTTATCCGGCTGCAAGAAATCGAGTTTCTGATGAGGCCACACCATAGGCTCATCAAGGTTGAATGGAGTGGTTGATATCTCATCGTAGGCCGCGTCCTGTTTCACATTGCTCTGAATGTTTTTTAGCTTCTCCTGGAATGTGGAGCCTTCAGCCAGTTTAACCTTTTGGCCCAGAGGCTCATTGTTGTTATTATTATGGTTTTTGTCCTTCTTGCGGCTTTTTCTGGGCGTAGGATCGTCTTCCGATTCTTCATTATCTGTAGCCACATCGACCTCATCGTCGCCACTCTCGCTTTCTTCACTGGCAGCATCCTCCTTTCCGTCCGGTTCATAGTCAGACTCATCGCCGGAAAAGTCATCTTCGGATTTGGTCTCCTCCATCTCATCTTCGCTCTCCGACTCGGGTTTAATGATTCGCTTTTTTTTGCGCCGATCACCCAGCTCCTCCTCATCCGACGAAACTGAAACTGGCAGCTTCCTCTTTGCCGAAGGCTTGGTCTCCTGCACTTCCAGGTTCTTGCCATTGTTTTGATTCTCCTTCTCAGAGCCCGTCCTGTCAGTGTGCGTGGGCTCCGCTTTCACGCTGGGAACAAGTCTTTTTTTGTCGACGGCTGGTGACTTCGAGAAATAGTTAAACAAAGTGTTTGTGGGCGTCCCGCCCACACTCGTATTCAACTTCTTAGACATGCTGCTGCTCCAGCTTCGAAATAATATTTTGGTAATACAGACACGCAGACGCCAAAAATACGCGCGAAATTGAGACGGTAATACCGAATATATCGATATATTTTATCCACTTTTTGATATTTTAAAAAAAAATAATATATCACCGATATGATATTTTTTAAATATTTGGCAACCCTAGACGGTATATTTCGGTATATTTTGAAATTGAGACAGTATATTTTGGTATTTATACATATATTTCCGTTTTCCAGCACTGTCGAGACGGTATGCAATAGAGCTGTCAAACGATTGATAGTTAACAACACAATTAGATGCCACCTGTCGATTTGCTTACAAATTTGTCTTCGTATTTTATAGCAGCCAATCCAAACATATCAAAAGCGCCACGACTGTAGCTCGATACTATCATGATAGTCTTAAATCCATAGGTAGTAGAGGCTAACAGCAAAATATCGATACTATCGATAGTGCCCTCTTTGGTTTGACACCTCTAGTATGCAAGGAAATAAAATAAATAATTTCACGAAATAAAGCAATTTATTAAGACAAGAAAATGTCGCTAGCTGACGAATTACTGGCTGACCTCGAGGAGGATAACGACAATGAGCTGGATGAGGATGATACTGAAATGGGGAATGCTGAGGATGAAAAAGTAAGTACTGCTAAAATGAAATGGACCAAAACAAAATTTTTTAAATTTATATATTCCCCAGGAATTGGCGGAGAAACTATTGAAGCCTGCTCCAAATTTGATGGACGTGGATGTCACAGTGCAGTCGGTGCGCGAGCTGTGCAAGTTACGCGACTCGAAGCGATTGCAGGATACGCTTCAGCAGATCGAACATTACGCCAGTCGCCAGCGGACCGCCGCCGAAATGTTGGGCAGCGTGGAGTCCGACCCCGAATACTGTCTGATTGTGGAGGCCAATGCTATTGCCGTGGACATCGACAATGAGATCTCCATTGTGCACAAGTTCACCAAGGATAAGTATCAGAAACGCTTCCCAGAACTAGACTCGCTGATAGTTGGGGAAATTGAGTATTTGCTTGCAGTCAAGGAGCTGGGCAATGACCTGGACCAGGTGAAAAGCAACGAGAAGCTACAGGCCATACTTACGCAGGCCACCATTATGATTGTCTCTGTCACAGCATCCACTACACAAGGGACCATGCTGACGCCCGCTGAAAAGGCCAAAATTGATGAGGCCTGTGAGATGGCCATCGAGCTAAATAACTTTAAGTCAAAAATTTATGAATATGTTGAGAGCCGCATGACCTTCATAGCCCCAAATCTTTCCATGATAATCGGTGCGTCCACGGCTGCGAAACTTTTAGGAATCGCTGGCGGTCTCACCAAGATCTCCAAGATGCCGGCCTGCAATGTTCAGGTCTTGGGCTCACAAAGGAAAACCCTCTCGGGCTTCTCACAGACACAGATGCTACCGCATACGGGTTATGTTTATTACTCGCAGATTGTCCAGGACACGGCTCCGGACTTACGACGCAAGGCGGCTAGATTGGTGGCTGCCAAAGCCGTTCTGGCCGCTCGTGTGGACGCTTGTCATGAGAGCGTCCATGGCGAGATTGGCTTGCGGTTCAAAGAGGACATTGAAAAGAAGCTGGACAAGCTGCAGGAGCCACCGCCGGTGAAGTTCATCAAGCCGCTGCCCAAGCCCATAGAGGGAAGCAAGAAGAAGCGTGGAGGAAAACGCGTGCGCAAGATGAAGGAGCGGTATGCCCTGACTGAGTTTCGAAAGCAGGCGAACCGCATGAATTTTGGTGATGTAGGTGTATTCCGTGAATCGTTTAAATTTTATGTAATCTTTATTCACCTATTCCAGATCGAAGAGGATGCGTACCAGGGCGACTTGGGCTACTCCCGTGGCACAATTGGAAAGACTGGAACTGGCCGTATCCGCCTGCCCCAGGTGGATGAGAAGACTAAGGTGCGCATCAGTAAGACCCTGCACAAAAACCTGCAGAAGCAACAGGTCTATGGCGGCAACACAACAGTCAAGCGCCAAATCTCTGGCACGGCCTCTAGTGTGGCCTTTACGCCGCTGCAGGGTCTTGAGATTGTGAACCCTCAGGCGGCGGAACGATCACAAACGGAAGCCAACGCGAAATACTTTTCAAATACCTCCGGATTTCTCTCGGTTGGAAATCGAACAACTTAAAAAGAATGGTCATGTTTGTCTTTTCTATCAAATTAAGCACTTTTAATTATAGATTTGTCTGGCTCAAAGTGAGATAGGCGTTGTAAAGCTGCAATAAAGCTGTAAAGGAGATTCTAGTTGTTGTTAGCTCAGTTTGCCCACGTCCAACTTGCGTTGTATTGCTTCCCAGGAGTTGTTCAGCAGCACAGCCAAAATGCCGGCCACAGTGAAGACGCCGCCAATAATGGAGCAGCAGTTTGTGGCAAAGTGGCCCAAGGAGCTGGTAATAGAAATTCGGCAAATTAATATTTATAGATCCATATGTATATAGATCAATTCTATGCTTTATGCTGTTAACTGACTTGTGTTTCGCTGCATATTTGACCATCAGCGGAGACAGTTCATAGCTGAAGAATATACCCGGCATTCCCCGTTCGCGATCTGTTAGATCTTTTCGATATCGCGTGACGGAGAATTGATTTGTGTAAATCGGTTGGCCATCGCCTTGGCGCATATATAGTGTAGGTACGATTTTCAAGTAATAATTGAACATTTCGCTTTTGGTTTCTGGAAGAGAAAAATATAAGATATAAAATATATATATATAAATATAAATATAATATAATATATAATTAATTATGAAAAAATTTAATTAATAGCCAGTTTACACTACGGTTGAGTTATGCTTTAGCCAATTGAATCATTAGAAGCGAGATTTTTGTAGACCTATTTGCCTTTACAGAATCTCCTAGACTTCTGGAAGGAAAAAAAATAATGGTTTTCGTGGTGTACGGAAGAACTCTCACATACATGAATGAAAATCATTAAAAATAAATCAATTTGAAAAATTAAACTTGTTATTCATTGAGAACTATTCATGAAATGTAGCCCCAATTGGGTGGTAATTTGGTGGATATATAAAATGTTTTAAAAACACGTAGAACGTGCCGTTGTCAGAACTCATAACTCAATAACTCGAGTTTGTGCCAGTGTAGACGCTAATTCTGAGTTATTGAGTTAACTCAACAATCGATAGGTAATTCATCTCAGTGTAAACAGGCTATAAGAAATTAAATATAGCTTGTACGATATTTCATTGGCATCACTACTAAACAGCGTGGCAACCCTTGCCCCTTTTGACAGCTCACACACATATATATATATTCACATTCACAGTCGGTTCGTCCACCAAGTGGAATAAATAAAAATATTACGAAAATATACTGATTGTTGAGAAATTCAACGAGCTTTTAAAACACGCATCGAAGAAGCGACACGCGTGGCTTTGGTTTCCTCGAAAAAAACACATATACGGACAATAAAAAGAGAACGGCATGCCATTGCCCTCAAGCTCCTTCTCCCAGCAGGGACCCACATGCTTTGATAAGATGAAGACTGGCTTTATCATTGGCTTCTGCGTCGGCATGGCCAGTGGAGCACTATTCGGGGGTTTCTCTGCCCTGAGGTGAGTTGACTTTAGAACAATACACCCTGGAAAATGACGCAAGCTCAGATACCTTTGTTATGTAATTATGCCGGCTAACTAACGACTGAAACTCGCTTTTGCAGATACGGACTGCGTGGACGCGAGCTTATCAACAATGTGGGCAAGGTGATGATACAGGGCGGCGGAACTTTTGGCACTTTCATGGCCATTGGTACAGGAATACGCTGTTGATCGCACTGCAGCCTCTTGGGATATCCTTCTGCTGGCATTTTTGGCAAACTTTTAGACTATACACACTTAAACTAATAATTATTCAAGCATTGTTTAAATTACGCTAAGTTATTGCAATAGAGATTTTAAATGGATTGAATCTTTTTCCATTCCTCTCCATAAGAAAAATAGCAAGTCTGACTATCAGCACTTCTTTCCTCTTCTGAAATCACTAATGCTAACATACCTTTCCCGTAACTAGTATTATTTTGTTTGCTGGTAGTTTTGCATGCATCTTATACCCTCTTAAACCCTCCCGATGCGCACTCACCTGAAACGTCCACACGCAGACCATCAAGAGGATGCGTTTTTGCAAACTCTATCTTTTCTCCGAAGGACATATGATTAATTGTGTGGGAGAGCTTAACATTGGAAAATTGGAAGTCATGTATGTGAAACTGCCGTATAGAGAAGCTTTTGCCGGGTGCAAAATGGAAGCTTCCAGCCATTCGATTCACCTCAAGATGTCCCTGTATACGACAGCCTTCTTTGAAGGCGTCCTCATCGGTGCGTTTGTACTTGCCCTTGCACTGCTCGATTTTGTCTACTTGGACGTTCCACTTGCGCAGGCGGTAGGCATCCAGAACTTCCTCGCATGTGTTGCAGCAGCTGGGAAAGTTTTGGTACAATCGTTTTAAGGTGGTTCCCCAGCGAGACTTTTTGATGATTTCTTTGCTTACTGCGTGGCGTTGTGCTCGGCTCCGTAGCAGCTTCCGCAGGTGACATTCTTGTTCGGCGGCGAGACGGCTACAATTTCCTTGATGGGCGTCTCCTTAAGCGGCTCACCCTTCAGGTCGAGCCTATGCTTGAATATATCGTGGTCCACCCGCAGGTGTGTGTCGCCAGACGAGTCCATCGCATCCAGTGATATATAGTTGCAGGCCAAGTTGTGCAGCGTGACATCCAAATTGATGCGCAGCTTGTGCCCTCTTGTGGTGTCCACAAACAGCTCCTCGTTCAGGGCGGGCTGCACGTAGCTTAGAAACTCGAGGAAGATCAGCAGGCTTATGATGCTGGTACTGATGATAGTCACTGAAGAAAACAATACCATACCGGTTGGTTGAATTGTATTTTTTTCTCTTTAAGCTGATGTTTTGAGAAAACTCACCAGCGGCGCCGCCCACTGTACGCACGCTGAAATCGTCCAAAGTGCGGGGGTACGCGTCTAGCCGATGCAAGACGTCAGAGAACTTCATTTTGTGCG